AGTTTTAATTAGTTGGCATGACGTATTTGGCACTAACATTATAATCAGGAAACAGAGTACCACACAAAATATGTGCTAGTTAACCAAGCTTACTGAATCCTGGTTAGTGTTTGGTGGTAAAAAGTCGAGCTTGAGTCGAGCATAAAAAGCTCGTTTGATTAATATGAGTTCAGGCTTACACTCATGAAGAGCCAATAGGGCAGTGAAACAAAAAGAGAACCATATGAACTGCCAAGTATTTTGTAGTTGCCATTGATATGGACCGGGAGGAAAGTTACAATGGTGAAATAGCAGTATTCATTGGTCTGATTTATATAGCCATTCTGAAAATCAATAATTGCTTAATTAGTGGTATTTTTCATAACCCAGCATAATGACAATAAAAGATAGTTTTGTCAACGAAGATTTCATTCTATTTCTATAGTCAATTGTATTTAATGGCAGCAATGATAGATAAATAGTATAAACACAATTTTTTCTATATAATAAAGCTGAGCTGAATTTGAATTCTAAAATTTATCTTAAATTTTCCACAATTCAAATCGATTCTGAGCAAAACGTAAGTTTTTCACTGCTGTGAAACACCCACCCATCGCTGCCTAGCCGTTGCTCATCCATCATGGCNAACAAAACGTAAGTTATATACAATGATTTATCTTATTTGTAATTTTTTGTGACTCAAATCGACTTAAAAATATTGATCTGACTAATCAAATTTACCGACGACTTTTATTTTCCCGCCTAACACACACCTTCCATTTATATGCTTGCCAAATACCACGCCTTTTATTCCCAATTTCACGCCTGATTGTTCTTAAACTAATCTAATGCCTGAAAGTACCTTAATTCTCACCCCAAATCTAATAGATCTCTTAAACCTCATCTCTTCCAAATCTCTGTAGTTTTTCACTGCTGTGAAACACCCATCCATCGCTGCCTAGCCGTTGCTCATCCATCGTGGCCTGAAAATTGCAATGTCTAATTTTCTTTAAAATATATGTGCCAACAGCTCAATATAGAGAAGTTCATGTCACACCCGCACCCCAGATCACATAGGGTTAGTAGCGGACCGTCCACCAAGGCCTTAACCAACTAACCCTGTGCATAATATATACAAAATAAAGCAGAAGATAAATAATAAAGTGATCAATTTCACCGATCTAATTAATACCAGAGGAATAAATTAAACATCAACAACATCATTATTAAACTCATGTAAAACAACAACTAAACTATAAGGTTCACTACTCTAAAGTATAAACATGAGCAACATTAATCCCAAAAATAATTAAATATTTGTCTCAAAATCACAAAGGACATTTATTGCTAAAAACTTACAATAACATAAATCTTCAATCCTTCTACTCCTTTGTCTGTCCGGGGACTTACTCCTCCCCTTGATCCTCACCTGAAAAATGTTAAATGTTTGGGTGAGCACAATGACCCGTGAATAACAACTACCTCTAATAATGTGTGAAAATAAATTCCACATTTTATATGTAAAAATAAATTTTGTTACCTACATAAGTACAACAAATTGTACGTCAATCCCTTCCACGTAACCATGTAAATAAAATGATCTCATGATCATAAATAACTTTATAAAAGAAAAGACATTTATAATTCAAACACCCACTCATTTTCACAAATAACTTTATAAATGAAAAACATTTATAACTCAAAACACTCACACACATTTAGTTTCAAATAAATTTGTCAAATCATGTTTGTTATCACTAACCTAGTAACTGGCTCCGTCTCTTGTCATCACTAGCCTGATGACTGGTCTCATCTCTTGTTATCACTAGCTTGATAACTGGCCCTTATGTGCACATCCCTATACCGACTACGCCGGTATACAATCTCGTTACCATTTAGACCTACCTCCTATGACCCCTTTTCATAAAACATGATTTCAACACACACACTAAAACTGTTGTTTGAGTCCCAACGCATACAAAATTTCCCTTTTATCATCAAAACACATTTAGACAATGATATAAAATCATCTCATAAGTTTTTCCAAACTTCACAAGTATAACAATTCACAATTTTAAAATATTTAATTGCAACCCCAAACATCAACATATATCATATATATAAAAATTCACACACACGCACCCACAGTTTAATATAGAAAATTTTCCCAACAGATGTATTAAACTACTCACCTTGATTCTCAAAATTCAATTCAAAACCCTTTTTCTCAACCTCAATGCAATCACTACCTAATTCAAAATAATATATAACAATCAATCCATATTCCTAATTTCGTCGTTTCACGATTCTATATTTAATTTTTATAATTTCTACCCATTGATATATAATTAATATATTTTTTTACATATAAATATCCTTTCTAATACGAGGTAATATGATATGAAAGTATTTTGGGATGTTTAGAAAAAGTTTCTAAAGTTTTGGGGTCAATTCATAATTTTAAAACTTTTGGGGTTAAAGTGTAATTTATTTTAAAAATAAATTTTTTGTTTTCAAGACTGCTATAAATTTTCCAAAATTCAATTCTTGCAACTTACCAAGTAAAAAGGTGGTTAAAAATTAAATTTCAAAGAATATAGGGGGTCAAAGTAAAGCTCTTTCAAACTAAAAGGGAGATTTTCATAATTTTACACTTTTTCACCATTTTTTTCCTACATAAACTCTAAAACCAGTAGCTTCCTTTCCCTTTTTTTTTTCTTCCTTTTTTTTTCTTTTTCTTCCCAACACATTGATTAAACTCAATTAATTCCAAACAATTATAAACTTAAAGATCAACCTAATAATTTCAATAATTAATAAGGTACCATGAGACCTATATATGTCTACCAACATTATAAACCTTATACCCTTTAATTGAATAAGAATATAAAACTCATAAGAAAAATAATTAATTCATACCTTGGATGGATTCAAGTCCCTTTCTTTCTTTTTCCTCCTCCTCCTCCTCCTTCTCTCTCTCTCTCTCTCTCTCTCTCTCTATATATATATATATATATATATATATATATATATATATATAAAACTCTGGCTGCCTTTCTTTCTTTCTCTTCTTTTTTTTTTCTTTATTCAAAATCCTAGCCTCTCCTCTCCTTTCTCTTATTCTAACGTATGTGTATATGTTGGGAAGAGAATATATATATCTATATGTCATTAGACTTCTAGGGTAACAAGAGAACTCATTTTAATCACATTTTTTTTCGCCCTATTTTTGACTGGTTACATACATGTAAATACAAAATAAAAGAAACCGTAAGATAACCCTACAATTCTTCATTCATTAATTACACTAACATCCCTTTTCAAAAATAATATCACAAATTGACATAAATTGAGTTTTATATATTTCAAAAATTTGGGGTATTACAATTCAAATATCTGCAAAGATTTATTGTTGATTGACTAGTTATTACTTGTGCTTGAAGGCACAAAACAATAAAAAATAGTAAACAATAACCATATTTGTATTCATATCTAAAATTAAATCACAAATATAGATGAGAGATAAATGTATTTAAGTATCGGTTGTAGTGGGGTGAGAGGTAGTGGGTGGCGGTGGTAGTGGCCGAGGTAGTGGTAGGGCGGTTTCAAATACTATTTTTTTATAAAGTATTTATGAGAAATAATTCTTAAAAATATTTTTAAAAAGTCACTTCAAACACACCTTTAGAGGCTTATTTTTCTTATTAAATTTAGGGTGTTAATATTAGCCGTTAGATTAATTTTAAAATAAAATTTAAAGCCATCTGAACCGCGAAAAACAAAAATCATTCTTTTTATCTTTTGAAATTTGAATTATAAGCTATTTTTTGTTGATTGATTGTTAGAACTTAGAAACATTGCCTACACTATTATTGTATAGTTAGCTAGTTAGATTATGTATTATAACTAGGCATGTGAATTGTGTCGGATGAAATGGGTTCGTATCAGGTTTTAACTGGTTCTTGGCAAAAAGTATTTCACTCATATCTGATTTGTTTATTAATATGTGTCTAATGACTCATGTCATATTGAGTTCGTGTCGTGTATAAATCACGTATAACCGACATATAAATGAGTTGTATCTTGTAATTCTTTTGATTGACTTCATTTATATCCGGTTCGTCTATTAATTGTGTCGGGTCGGGTCCGTTTGTTTAAGAAAACAGATGACTTAAAAAAGACCTAATTATTACCCACATAAAGTGAGAATTATTTTGTCAAAATTCAACACTAGGGATGTTAATGAACCGAAGCGGGGCGGGGGTATAGTCTTCATCCCCATATCCGCTTAAAAAATCCTCGTCCATCCCCGGTCCACCCTTGCTAACGGATAAAATTTTCATTCCCATCTTCGTCTATGAATAAATTTATAATTCCAGTCCCCGTCTCCCCCGTATCCGCCCAAGCCCAAGCCCAAATCAAGCATAATCGTTAATACATTTGATGACCCCCAGTTGTTTGCCCACCTAAGTTGCAGAATAACACAAATGTCTAAAACAACTCTCAAACTTATGGTTTGTCTTAGAAGGCAGCAGCCAGCAGGGTGAAGGCTAGAACAATGTTTTTTTCAAACATTCTGACCTTGGAAATGCTTTACTAAAATATTCCGATACACTTTAGTGGTTGATGATCTAAACTTGTCACCATTACAAATGAATGATATCCCCTAAGCACTAACATATATATATATATATAATGGGTAACGGAGACGGGACGGGAGTAAGGGTAAGTCCATCCCCGCCTTCATCCCTGCACGGATTTATACGGGTATCCTCATATATGTCCATCGTTCAATACATATAGTCCATCTCCAGTCCAAACGGGACGGGTTTGGACGAATACCCATTTTTCTCCGGTCCATTGTCATCCCTATTCAACGCCAGTTTTTGTATAAATACTCTTAATATAAGTTCCAATTTCATTTTTTTTCATAATTTTCCTGTACAATTACCGGTAGTCGTCACAAACATTGAATTATACTTCTTTTTCTAAAATTGAAAAGCCTTCTTCTAGTTTCAATCCTACAGCATTGCTATTGGGCTTCTCACAATGTGCTTGGCACTCTCCAAGGAAAAATGACCAAATACTATCTGCTGTACTGGGTCACTGGTATTATTACCAACAATTCTGCTTTCAAATTTCACCGTGTGGCTCTGCTTTTCGTTCTAGTAATTGAACTATAGGTTCTGTGGGTGAACTGTTATGGCCACCCAATCTGAACGATGATTGAAAATTTTGAATGTGTACTTTTGTGGCAGTGTTGCCCCCACATTTGACAGAGTTCTCTTTACCTCTTGAATGCAATTGTTGTGCTTGAACACGACTGAGAAAGAAGGATAATTCAGATTGGCTGGAGTACCAGCGCAAATGACTTCATCTGGGATTGTGTAGTTTAAACTACACAAAAATTTAGTGTAGTCAGATCCATCGGCCTCGTAAATCAGCCCTGGATCTGCAGCCAAGCTTGGGTTGATGTGGCCAGCTCCAATGCCAAGCGCGTTCGCTGCCTTCATATCTTGCAATTGAATGATGTTCGTTGTCGATCAATCCAGCTGTCGTCATCATTGCTGATTAGATGGCCGCTGGGACCAATTGGGATGCATCGCACACAGGAGTGCAGCTGTTCTAGTAAAGATCATGCTTGGAAAAGGCAAGTCCTTCATTGGTTTTTCTCTGTATATCTCGTCAAATATCAGTAAAACCCAGACTTCACTTGTACATGTCAATGGCTGTGGCTCTCTGAAGGAAAGTCATACTCTCGTGGGGAAGATCGTGGTATGTGACGGTATAGGAAAATACGGATTTTACTATGGAATTGTGGTACAGAAAACAGGGGAACTTGGACTAATCCAGCTGAACTCAGAAGAGATTGGAGAAGGTCCAGTGGCTACACCTTACACATTGCCTGCAGCGATATTTTAAAGATGGAATGGCGATTCTAGTGGCTACACCATTCATCTCAGCTGTTTTAGTGTAATTTAGAATCGCCATTCCATCTTTAAACCAAAAAAAAAAAAAAATTCCATCTTTAAACCCCACTATGGCAGCTGGCAATGTGAAAGGTGTAGCCACTAGACCTTCTCCGCTCTCCTCTGGGTTCAGCTGGATCAGTCCAAATTTGCATGCTATCTGTACAAAAAATCCATAGTAAAATCCATATATTCCTATACCGTCGCATACCACGATCTTTCCCACAACATTATAATTACGAATTTCCTCCACAGAGCCACAACCATTGACATGAATAAGTGAAGTCTGGCTAGACTGGTTTGTACTACGAGATACACAGAGAAGAACCAATGAAGGACTTGCCATTTCCAAGCATGATCTTTACTGGAAAAGCCTGATCAATAGATCGAGCTCCAACTGTGGCTACCCAGGGTGCCGTATTCTGAACAGTATATGCACGGGGTCCCATATTCCCGGCAGAGCATGCCACAAAAATGGCCCTCTTCATGGCGGCAGAAGTCCCCCTAGCTATCACGTCCTCGTAGTAAGGAGCATTTCCCCCTCCCATTGAAATTGACAAAATGTCTACTCCGTCTTCAATGGCACTTTCTATGCCAGGAAACAAATCAGAGTCACCATATCTGCCCTGGAAGCAAATCTTATACATTAGTAATACCATTGGCAAATCCATGTTGGCACCTGCAACCGCGGCTCCAGCTGCAGTAGATGCGGTATGCATGCCATGATGAACTGCATCTCGTGGGGATTGGTAATCATGGGCTTGGTGTCAGTTTGAACTTCCAGAAATGAAGTGTTGAGCGCCACTACTGAAGAACCTTGCCCCAATAAATTTTTTATTGCATAGTCTGGAGTTGAATCTGTATGCGCTTTTCCGATGGGGAGGAATTGGAGGCCCAAGTCTGTGATCACTGATAATCTTCTCATCAAAGTTTGTCTGGCCACAGACCATGATTTGTGCTCAGACCAAGAAACTGTGGTGACTGGGTTGTATGAAGTTGTTTCCTCACAGTGTCTTTGAAAACCACATTGACTCCAGGCAGTTCCAGGAGTTTATCACATTCTTCATCCGCTAATCTTGCTGCTAAATCTTCAAAGACTACATTGAATGTATAGAAAATTGGAGGAGTGGAGGGTGATTCAATGTTTGGGTCTGTCACTGAGCTGACCATAAAGACATGCCACTGTCCTTGTGTTGCAAAAGCTGAAGGCCTAGTAGGGCCATCAGTTCAGACAATATAACTTGACAGGGAAGGCTTAGATGCATCTGTTAGTTTGAGAGATAAGGAGAGGAGGCTGAAAAGGAGTGTGGATAGTGAAAAGAAATTGCAGAAAGAAATGCATGCCATCGTAGAAATCTTGGTTGGTTTCTGGAATTCTTTGAAGATGGTACCTCTGCCACATGTGGCATAAGGGGGTTTTTATAGAAGGAACACTGGACAGTTTTTCTTTTTTTATTTTTTTTTTTGGAGGGAGGGCAGACAGAGAGACTTATAGAAGAAGCAAAAACTAAAGAAGAGCCAAGACTTAATGAAGATGACAAATGACAATTCAGCCACTTGCAATTGTTAGGCCAGCTCAAGAGTAAAATGTTGCCTCATTCATATGGTAGTATTTTTATTTTGGGTCAGATATGGCAGTGATTTGGATCTTCAATAAACTTGATGTTGAGTTCTGGAGCTTAATCTGATGAACAGAATATATCTTGATTTTAAGCAAGTGCTTATGTGTGTAAGTTGTGCTTATGGACCCAATTTGGGGTGTAAATGCAAGTTATTACAGCCACAGGATGGTTCTAATTGCTTTTGTCTATATATGTAAAGTTTCAAGCCAAACCATTTATGGTGTACTCTTCTTTTCTTCCTCAGTTTTACTGTAATGCTCTTTGCATTTCTCTAGCTCTTCCCTTCCACCATAACTTTTAGATTTATTACAACAGTAATTGTAGTCCTAATCAGCTTTCAATGCAAATCCAGGTACAACATCAGGCTAGGTGGGTACATGTGACATTGCCAGGTACCCTCTTACCATTGATCCCCAAGGATTGCCTGAATAGCTTCCTCATGGAGATTCATAGGATTTGGATGGTTTTCTATATGATGTTTCCAACAATTGATATAAAACAATCGACTCTCTCTCTCTCTACGTGCCTGTTACTGTCATTTCTGAACTCATCGTAGCTAACTACTTTATAAGTTTTTGGAATCGAGCACAGCTGGTAGTTGTGAAAGAATTCATGGTGATTTTAATCCATTGAACAATCTCATTGATCTTACAAATCATGCATTTACTCACACAAGTAATTCCCCGTCCTTGTCTCTTAGCTATAGTGGTATAGGCCTGTCCAATTCAAAGGGCTATAGTTGTATAATACTTACTCAAATAGCAGACCCCCATAAGGAAATAGAACTCTGAGTTTTTGGCCTCTTTATGTACACAAGGACATGTGCCACATGGAAGAATAATTACAAGAGTTGATCATTGTTTGAGAGAGAAAGAGAGAGAGAGAGAGAGATTAGGAGAGAGTTGATCTCTTTGTGTTATAATACACGACTGTTCTTGGCTTGAAATCTGTTTCAGGTTTTTGTAAGTGCTTCTATTCTATGTGTGTATGATTTGAGCTCATGGCACAAATTTTGTCATTAGATGTAAGTTATTATTATTGCCACATGATGTTTCTAATTGCATTTGTCTGTAAATTTGTGAGTTCAAGCCAAACCATTTATGGTGTACAACTCTTCTCTTCTTTTGTTTTAGTTTTTACTGTTATATATGCTCTTTGCATTTCTCTAGTTCTCTGTCCATCGGCGCGGTAACTTCCATATTTATTACAAACTTCATTACATATAGTCCTAATTGGCTTGCAATGAAATAGCTGTAGGTAGGATTTTGATGTTTTTTATTGCCATCTTCCCTTATAATAGTTAATACAATGCCTCCCCGTAATTAGCTGCCAAAAAAGGAGAAGAAGAAGACAACGACGACTATGCATCCTAGCTAGAAACAAAAGCAATGTGTGACAAGAACCTGATGGTCGACCCTTTTTTTTATTTTTTTGACCTTTTTATTTTCTTAAATCCCAAATCTTGGGAAATATTTATGCAGCATAAGCAAACCAGAGACTAGACCACTTTAGGGCTTAGAGGTGCACTTTTTATGGATTTCAAAAATGATTTGATTATTATGATCTAACATGTTTTATGATATGCTAGTTTCTGTAATTTTTTTTTTTTTTTCTGGTTAGAAGATTGGTTAGGGGAAACTAGACGTAGCCATAAGATTCCCACACGCTGTATAATATTCGGTTTTAGCCATAGTCACAACAATATCTAATTCACAGGACTACTACTACAAATGGGCTCAAACTCATGACCACCGCAGGAGAGCAGAATTTTCACCCTCTACTAAAGCCAAATAGGCTGTCACTTTGGTGGTGTATGGTAGTTTCATTTAGTTGAATGTAAGGGCAGGGCACTGGAACCATTAAAGCCGATGAAGGGGGGTTTTACGGGTTCCAGATCTCCCTGAGAGAGTCCCATCTTACAGAAAAGGTGATCGTACATCACCTCAAAAGAACTACCCAAGTCCACCAAGATCCTTTTGACGTCGAACTTCCCGACCCGCAAAGTGATCACCAATACATCCTCGTGAGGGAGGACCACCCCGCCGAGATCAGCGTCAAAAAATTGGATAACCTCGGCACTACTCCACGGCTTCTTGGGAGGCCGCTCATCACCCCTTTCTTCCACCTTGACTGCTTGAGAGACCCTCTGTAACTCGGCACGGAGGGAGTTGTATGTAGGCCTCTCCATTGTGTAGGCATGAATAACATCAATCACGGGTGCTACCTCAGCTGGCACCTTAGTTCGCTCCCTCGCCGACCCGCCAGGATGACCCCTGTCAATGAATTCCCCGAGGTGTCCGTCTCGCACCAATTGTTCGAGGAAGGACTTATAAACATTGAAATCCTCCGTCAAATGGCCGATATCTTTATGATACAAACATCGGAAGGCCGCATTCCTTGTCAACGGGTCTCCAAACATCCTCGGGGGCCACTTGAAGTAGGGTTTATTTTTTATTTTGGGAAGTATCCTGTGAATGGGCACGTTGAAGACCGTATTCACTCCCTGGAAAGATAGGCTAGTTGGGGGTGGAACAAGCCCTCCCCTTCGGGCCGTCTACTCCTTTTTCCTTTTTCTCGGCACTGTGACCCTACTCTCGGGCGTGGCGGATTCTTCTTCCATTCGAACATATTTGTTAATCCGAGCCATCAAGTCTTTCATGTCCGCTGGAGCCCTCTTAGTCAGTGATTTGTACAAATCAGTGTCCCGGGACAACCCCAGCTTAAATGATGCCGTGGCCAATGTCTCCGAACATGCTTCCACCTCGTTCACTTCATCTCAATACCGGACGGTATATTGTTGAAATGTCTCTCCCGCTTTTCGCCTAAGCGTCAACAGAGCGTCGATGTCCTTCAGTTTCTTACTACTAGTGATGAATCGAGCTATGAAGAGCTTCGTCAATTGTTTCCAGGACCTAACGCTCTCAGGAGCAAGGTTCTCATATCACCTCATGCCTGTGTCCCCTAGGCTCATGGGAAAAATTTGGCACAACACCCTTTGGTCAGTATCATAGATTGACATCAATTGTCTGTATTATCGAAGGTGGCTCTTAGGATCGGTTTTCCCATCATAGACTTTGAACCATGGGACGGTAAACTTCTTTGGCATCTCGGCCTCCCTAATAGCCCAGACGAACGATGAGATAACTTCTTCGGAGTAGACCTCGGGCTCATGGTTGCGTTGAGCAACAAAGGGGACCCTGGGATCCTTTTTTGATCTTTCTTCTTGAGGCCTTCGGGGTTTGGACTCCGCTTGTGATTCGGCGGCTCCGACGCCCTCGGGTATCCCTCGACGCAGGTCCCACCTGGATAAGATTGCCTTCTGGCCCGATTTCGACTTCCCCTTGGAGGCCGAGAACCTTTCTTGGCGGTTACATCCCTCAAGCGAGTGCCTAATCCAATATTTCCTGGATGGCCAATGCCAGGGGGGCCTGGACAGGTTAGGCACCTGATCCCCGAACCAGCGACTATGTTTACCCGCGCTCGTTGACTGCTCAAAATCATCAAGACGTTGCTGGATCTTGGCGTTTTCCCTTCTAAACTGTTTAATGTATTTGTCCATCTGCTTTTCCACCATCTCAACGATGTCATGGGCCATGAGGTCGAGCCCCCCAAGGCCCTGATCCATAGGAAGCGTTCTTTGCGAAGAATGCCTCACCCCATCCGATTGGCCCAATGAACTCGGCTCCCGAACCATTGGAAGTCGGATGGGCTCTGTGTTCCTAGCCCATACACTTGCTCCCTCACCCTGAGATCGAGTGTTCACCATCAGACGATCGCTACCGAGAAAAATGCCTTCACTTCCCACAGACGGCGTCAAATTGTACAGGATAATTCCTGCAATAGTATGAGACAACGATCTCCAAGCTGGCGAACCTGAAACAACAGGGTCAGAATAAAGGGGGCTAGGCGAGCGCCCGGCTAATTCCCTCCGAAGCTTAAGTCAGTATAAAGTTGAAGATTTTGCTCAATGGACTATTTTTCTGATTCAAGTTTGCGTACCTTTGTCCATTTTTTTGAGGAGTATTTATACCTGAACTAGCAATGATTGCCAAAGATCTTCAGTCTTATCTGAACATCTTACATCTGACACACCATTCCTCGTGCAATGAGTATTTTCTACTCACGTCTCCTCCCATTGAATGCTAGGAAAATGGGATAAATGCTCAGCCAAATGACAAGCATTCATGCCACTCCCCGAGTATCCAAATTTTTCAGATCGATATCTGACATCAACTAAGCATTGAATACTCGAGGGGAACAGTTCCTCGGGGGAGCCGATCGCATCATCTCGGCGCATCAGCCACTAATGCTTAACCATCATGACAGTAGGCTTAAACTCCCAGAGGGCAGGTGCTGGCAGGCTCACATTTATTTGTCTTGTCATTTTCACTCATTCCGCCATAAATGAAGGATCACATCGCATTAAATACGATATCAGCTATCGTACTCAGCTGCTCAGTGTCACCATACCTCGACTTACTTCCTCGGCACCCTTTGGACATCTCAACGGCTTCATTATTCCATGTGTTGACCCGGGGGCTGTAGAGT